GTTTTTTTCTCAGCAAGAAGTTGATTTAAAAAACACAAGTTCCTCGGGACCGAAAATGGAACTGCTTGTGTGTGTGACACAAAGCAAGAGGGCGGTTTTGTACTTTCAACTCCTTCATCTTTTCAGCAACTTCAGATCTAAGCCGACAGTTTTTTTTCCCTCCCCCAATTGTATTTTAGGACCTTTTTTTGTCATTGGAAGCCAGTGAAGTGCGCAAAGTGGGATACGTGAGATGCAGTCACAGGTCAACAGTTGCAAACAACAACGATTTTGATGGGAGTCACAATTTATTCAACACGTTTCAACAGGAGCAGGAGGCCGCAAAGGCGGACGAGAGGATCGAATGTTGCGGCAAGCACAGACCATGTCGAAGCGCATTTGGCATGCACGTCTTCCACCTTTGGTGCACTGGTTGTTGCATCGCTGTCTGCGCTTTTCTCAAGACGACGATGACGTCGAGGTTTGGCTCCCAACTTGAACCTGAGACAAAAGACAAATTGGAATGAGCATTAAGACGGCTCGGCAGACAAGAATTGGACATTTTGCTGGAGGGCGCCCCTTTTTCCGTCAAACAGCGGTCATCGTACCGGCGGCGTCTCTGCGCTTCTTGGTCAAAGCATCAACCGCTTCGTCGCCGTTTGCCTTTCGAAGCCAACGCTGGGCTCGCCGCCAACAGCGTTTTTGATCTCGCAATGTCATCCTTTCGGATTTGCCTCATCATAGAAACTACAAAGTCTCGTGGCATCACCGGCTATGTGAGCTCGCCGTGCGCAACGAGCCTTGTGATGCAACAAGTCATCACAGGCAATTTCTCCCAAGTTGCAATAATTGACAAATAAAAGAATCGTCGACGGCTATTGTGGACAATCATCCATCACCGAGAGCGTGGTTACCAAAACAAGCCCCCACAAAATGAAAAAGCAAAGAATGGTGCTTACTTGGTGGTCCACAGGGAGGGTTTTGCTTGTCCGGCTCTTCAATACAGTTGAGGAGGGTCTTTCCAGCCGAGCGCTCGGCATGTGTGGCCACCTCAGGCTCCTCTTCCTTGAGCATAAAGGCCCTCGGCGTTCAGAGTCAACTCTTGCTCTGCTGGCTCCCGCCCGTCGTCTCTTTTAGCCACGCGCCGCGCAAATACAATGGGGCCCCTTCCCGACCAAGGGGGCCTCGCGCCTAGCTCGCTCATATCTTCCAACGATCCAATGCAATACGTCTTTATTGACATCGCGCAGGGGTGTCAAGAGCAAGGTTCATTTTTGTGGGGGAGAAACGAAAACGACCCAAACTGTGCTCCTGCATTTGGTTGGTGGATGGATGACTGAGGGAGGAGACGGTAGAAGAAGCACCATCCAAGTACTTGGTTGTTTGAAAAATATTGTTGTTGAATTTTTGACTGCGCAATACAATACCTTGATGTCTTTGTTTTTTCTAATCAACAGAAAAATGATAAAAAGGAATACTACAACCAATCAAGTGTCAACTAAAACAAAACATTTTCAAAAAAAAAAAAAAAATAACTTGCAAACGAACACACTTGCTTCCAATTAAGTTATGCTTAAAAACAAAAGAAAAATGCCGAAACGAATACAACTCTGGATAAGAGTGGGCGTGTCCCAAAAACAGTTGACAATCTTAAATGTGAACAGTGTTCAATACTGAGCCCAAATCTATACATGCGTGCGTGTGCGTGCGTGTGTGTGTGTGAAGGGAATGTCGCTGCTGCTTCCCGAGAAGGTGACTCGGCCATTGGGAATGTCGCTGCTGCTTCCCGAGAAGGTGACTCGGGATTGACTAGGGGCAGTCGAATCGAGTCATACAGACAAAGACGACTTTCACGATGACACCAAGTAAGTGAGTGACCCGCAGTTGTAACAGCACAGAGGATGAAGTCCGTACGCCTGACAGTATACCGTGCTACTGTCACGCGTTTCGTGTTTAAAATATCCGGTCCTCCGATGCCACGATGCCGCATGTTTTGAGAAACCCTGTGATTTGTCTCACTCGCGCGTCAAGGCGCCACCGTACAACACGAGAAAGCTTACCTTGAGTTGGCCGGGCCGGTTGAGCGGCGCGTCCGGGCCTGCCGGGCGGCGGCGGCGGCGCCTCTCCGTGGGTGGGGGAGGCGCAGGGGCTGGCCCGCGGCGAAGGCTGCGGCGACCAGCCCGGCGCCGAGCCGGCGCAAGGCTGCAGGTGCTGCGGAAGGACGGCCTCCACCTCCTCGTCCACGTCGCCCTCCATGTCGTAGTCGTCGTCGTCGCCCATGTCGGCGTCCTCGGCCAGCAGGGTGGAGCTGGCCGAGGTGGGGATGCTGCCGCAGATGCGCTCCACGCTCATCTCCTCCTCCAGGCTTTTGATCCAGCCGGGACTCTTCAGGCGGATGTCCAACACCTTGCCCAGAACCTGCGAGGAGGCCGAGGCTGCGTGTAGTCCACTTGAATAGGATCACGTTTTTCCATCTTTGTGAATTGAGTCCAAACCGAGCAAATGTCTGATCGAGTAGGTAACACCAGGTAGAACAAAAAAATGTCATGCGTATAGTTTTTCCTCATGTATTTGGACTTCAAGCTAATATTTAAAGGGACGATATTTCGGGATACACGAATCTCTGTTGATCAAAGAAAACATGTGCACATATTGACCGTGGTGGGTAACTTACAGTCGACGCGCTGAGGGACAAAGCAGCCAGAGCAGAGTAACCCTCCAGGAACGTCACCCACATCTTCTCCTCAACAAATCTAAATACATGAATCATGCGAGCGCTCTTGAGGTTATGCGACTGGGTTTCTTCGAATGAAATTCAATACCGAAGGTCATAATGAAGGTACCGTTGGGCTCACCTGATGAGGATGACCTCGCCAAAGTTGGCAAACTTGTCGAGAAGCTCGTCGATGAGCGCGTCGTCAAAGTAGTCGTCAGGTCCCGACGAGCACAGGGAGACCAGGACCGTGCCGTCGGGGGGGCCTTGCAGCGCGATGACGTCCTTGTAGACCTGGTGCCGGGCCTCCGGGTCCACCTCCAGGATGTCCACGTCCATGACAGCCACCACCGGCCTACAAGCAGATCGGTAGATTAGCACAGATCGCTGTCAAATGTAAGAGAGCGCTATTAACTTTTTTCTACAACAATTTTCATAAAATGCTGCGCTGAAATCAAGCGACAATCTCATCAACAACAAAAAACAACTTCTGCAAAATTCTGGAAGGACTGATTAGATGGCACCCACCTGTGGTCTGAGGTCTTGAGCTCGGCCCTGCCATAATACTTGAGGGTCCCGGGGCTCCAGGGGTAATCCGCGTCATCCTCGTACTCGGCTGACGTCGACACCGCGCCCACCACGTTCATCTCCTCAGCTATACACAAACATTTCAAAGTACTCATATGTATATGTGTGTATATGTATGTGTGTGTGTGTGTGTGTGTGTGTGTCTGTGTTTTTAAAGTTTTACTTCCTGTGCTTCTACAGGAGTTTCTAGGGGCAGGGGGGGGTGGGGGACCCCAATTTTCATAAAATGCTGCGCTGAAATCAAGCGACAATCTCATCAACAACAAAAAACAACTTCTGCAAAATTCTGGAAGGACTGATTAGATGGCACCCACCTGTGGTCTGAGGTCTTGAGCTCGGCCCTGCCATAATACTTGAGGGTCCCGGGGCTCCAGGGGTAATCCGCGTCATCCTCGTACTCGGCTGACGTCGACACCGCGCCCACCACGTTCATCTCCTCAGCTATCCACAAACATTTCAAAGTACTCATATGTATATGTGTGTATATGTATGTGTGTGTGTGTGTGTGTGTGTGTGTGTGTGTGTGTACCTGTTTTGTTAAAGTTCCACTTCCTGCGCTTCCAGAGGATTCGATCGGTCCAGGCGGGCGTGCGGCACTTCTCGCTGGTGTCGTAGTCTTCGGAGAAAAGGTCGTACTTGTACGTGGGCGCAAAGTCCAGCTTGCCCTCAATGAATCCCCGGAAGACCTGAGCCACAAAGAGGCCTTTTTGTGACTCGTGGTCGAAACGGCCAGAAAATGCGCAAAGAGGACGTGAACATCATTGAGTGCCAGAGCGCAACCGCCTACACGTCAGATGTAGCGTTTGAGAACCCCCACAATCGCAAATGTGCTTTCATTGAATCATGCAACGCGGACTTTGGCAATTGATGATGCTCTCCGGATAACGCGTTCAGGAGGTGGTCAATGTGTCAAATCTGGCCTCATTTGGGATTATTACTCAGAAGGTTTTTCTGGAAGGGTATTAGGTTGGAATCGCTCAAGAATGTGGAAGGGCTTGCTTGCTGAAACCAACCAATCCAATCAGAGGATGGAAAAATGATGACATCATCAAAGGCCCTCTCGGCAAATCCGAAGTGCGACCGGATAAAGAAAGAGTCCTATTTCGAAGCAAGACCCGGTGACTGTGAAGCAAGCCCCTCGGACAGATTACACGGACACGGCAACACACCGAGGCCGAACTGCGATTGGACAAAAGCAGTCGGTCCAAACAAACCGACTGTTGGGAATCGACGACGTACCATTCCGGCATTCTTCTGGTCAAAGAGCTGGTCGCCGGCCGTCAACGCGTCCCAGTTCTGCTGCCTGATCAGCTCCTTCACCTCCTCGTTGGGCAGGTTGATGCGGTAGTTGAAGTCGCCGCACCAGAAAACGTAGTCGTGAGAGTAGAGAAGGCGACCCTGGAGGGGGACGACGCGCCAAAGAATGACAAATGTTGCCCGTGCCCCTTTGAAACTTTGTGCTGGCGTTCCCACCATGGGGAAGCTGAGCCTGCGCGTGATCTCGTTGTAGTCGTCGTTCCTCTCCTTGACCTGCGACTGTCCCGCAGCGAAATGCGAGCACACGAAGCAGATGCTGGTGGTGTGGAAGAGCAGGCGGATGGCCACGCCCCCTTTGTTGCCCGTGGCGCCGCCCATGCCCGTTTTCACCGTGTCCACCGCCACGTCCCTGCGTGATGCGCACAAGAGAATGAACTGCCAAGCTGTGTATCGTTCTATTCTTCTATTTTCAAATGGCAATTCAAAAATGAAAAACAAACAAAAAAAAAACCTTTTGGTTATTCATTTTCATAGAATCCAACACTGCAAAAAGTAAACTTTGCCTCCGTTTTCACATCCAATACACAAATGAAACACACAATTTGAAGACAATTCCCAAAGTGTACTGAGAGAAACAACGAGTGGTTCTTGAAAACTAAATGCCGATGTCCTGAACTCAGTCATACTTTGTTGTACCACGAGAGGGAGCCTGCGCGCCGTGAGTACACCGAGAACCACTGCTTGGGAGCATCACATTCTCAAGACACATTGCCATGTCAAGTGGGACAAATCACTTCAACACCACTGTTATTTCCATTCTTCTTTCAATGAAAATCTGAAGAGGGAAAAATGCGCAAGGGTTTGAAAAGCGTACCTAATGAAGGGCGCGTGCTGCGGGCGGATGAAGACGAACAAGCACACGCCCACCAGCTGCTCCGACGCCAGCAGCACGTACTTGTGGTCCCGCGAGATGTTCTTCTGCAGCTCGGCGGCCCACAGCTTCTGGTTGGTGGTGCTGTGGATTTGGGTTTGCGCAAATCAAAAACAAAAAGTAGAGTGCTGGCATTCTGCATACCTCCTGACTAATTTACCCCATAAACAGGTCCCGATAATAAGAAAACCTCAGACAGGAAATAAAAGAGAACCCAAGTTTGGCTTGTACACCAATTTTAGAAAAGTAGAGCGGCAAGTTCAACTATGAG